TATAATGGATTAGCCCTGAGGGCAGCCGCTAGCAGGCAACCAGACCTGAACACACACACACACACACACACACACACACACACACACACACACACCTACACACCTACACACACACACACACACACACACACACACACACAAGCCATTCCCTGTTTTGGCCCATTAGCTGGGGGGAAGATCTATAATGTATGTCCGCGTGTGTGTGTGTGTGTGTGTGTGTGTTCAGGTAAGTAACATCCATTAGTAAGTTTCTCGTGATGAAAATGGGTAAATATGGGGAGTGCGCACACACACACACACACACACACTGCACTGAAGCTCCCAAACTGCTGCTGTTCGTGAACATTATTTGTTTGTTTGCTGTTTTCTTCCTGCTGCTGAAACGACGAGTCGATTATCTGAACAACCAAATTTAAATGCAAACAACAACAACACTCAAGAAAATAGGATGCCACCAACAAAAAGACAGTAAACAACTACAGTTGAACACAAAACAAACAAAATCTGAAGTGAACTGCTACAGAAAGACGGAAACCACTAAAATGCGAAAACCTGAATCCAAACTAAACAACTCCAATGAAATGTGATGCAGCTCGTCTGTCACCTGATCTCACATCTCTACCTTCTGTCTCTCAGCAGCACTAAGGACCTGCTGTGTCTTCCCTGTTTGCAGCCGGTCCTCTCCACTGTTCCTCTGAGACGCAGCTCAAAGCCACAAAGACGAAGTCAACAATACAGGCCAGATTTGACTTCTGTCTGTATCCAACAAGACGGCCAGTCAGATAAACACAAAGACGTTTGAGAGTGAATCTGATCAGAATAGAGACTTAAAAGCCAATTCATGGTTTCCTCATGACCAACAGGAAGTTTAAAATCAGACGCACACACAGCCTCAACCCTAAATCCTGAATATTTACTGACCAAACTGTCAACAACCTGGACATGAGGACACCAAAACATTGAAAAGCTGAATGCTAACATACAGAAATGTCAGAAACCTGGATATTAACACATCAAGCGTCAAAAACCCGGATGCACCAACAGTTTTTAAAACCTGGATATGAATGCAGTGAATGCTCAAAAATGTCAAAACATAAAAAAAGCCTGCACTGAATGTAATAAATGCACTAATTACACTAAAAACTGTAGACGTTAATGTACCAAAGCTCGACTAGAACCAGTTATTCCTGATCATCTCCTGAAATGTTGAAGGCAGCGGGCCGACAGAACCCAGTATATCTGGAGATTTTAGAACGATGTACCAAATAAAGCTGCTTCAAAGTCCTGCAGCGACGCTTTCATGACAGCTGATGATGGTTGTTAGGTTGTGGATGAAGGAAAACCTGCTCGTACAGTTTCTGCTCAGAACATGGTCCGTTTGTGTTCTCCCAGAGCAGTGCAGTCGTCATAAAGCATGAACGGGCCTGACGGCAGGAACAAACTGGTGAATGTGAGCGAACTGATCAGAGCAAGTTGGATCAGCCTGTTCCAGTCTGGCAGAAGAGCCCGTTTACCATGTGGACAACCAACAAAAGGACCAGCACAGAGTAAGGCCACCGTCAACACGCCTAGGTTCTGTTCTGGAGGCAGAAAAGCCTTTAATAAAACACAGACGGAGACTGAGCAGCAGCTCGTTCTGATTCTGTCCTGAGAAATGAGGAAACAGCTCTGAGATCCTGGATGGAGGAGTGCAAGACCGACTTCAGCCACTCATCTGCAGCTGCTGCACAGCGCCGTGGAACAGCATGTGCCCCCTTCTCACATTCTTATTTGTAACAATATTTTCAAACAGATTTAAATATTAGACAAAGACAACCAAAGTCAACACGGAACGCAGTTTATAGATGATGACTTCATGTTTGAAGGGAAAAGCCGTCCACACC